GTGTGTGTGTGTGTGTGTGTGTGTGTGTGTGTGTGTGTGTGTGTGTGTGTTTGGTGGCGGTGGTAGGTGGTGTTCTCACACACATGGTCATCTACAGAAGCTGTGAGTACTGTGGTAGGCCTATTGACAGACAATAGAAATGGAAAGGGAGGGTGTCCGCAACCCCTTACTTAAGAGGATGACTTAATCGCTCCTTGTTTGATGACTCAGACTGTTACAGGAGTGTAACAGATACTTTGCGAGTGTGTGTTTGAATTATATATGCAGTGGCCAGGTTCGGTATTTAATGTAGAGATGTGCTCGATCCCCAAGTCCCTGTGTGACTTTTTGGGACCACTACTTTCCTCGTGTGACGGCCAAGCGGTGATCTCTTGGGTTGGAGAGTCAAGGTATAGCCGACACACCATCTGAGTACGCGGAGAGGGATTATTTTGGGATGCGTTACATTAAAGCGATTACGACGTTGTTCCAGGTTTTTATGCTCCCCTCTACCTCTCTCTCTCTCCTCGGCCTCAGCCAGTGGAGCCCCAGCTTCATGCTCTGATCCGTGGAGTGCTCATTCGGCACTGCATATTAAGAGAGGCTGAGCGGATTTCTTTTAATGTTTTTTTTGTTTGTTTTATGTGAGATTACATGGCCAAATCGTGAATAGAGATCGCAACTTGGAGAACAGAAACAGAACACAAAAGAAAAAGAAACATTTGCTCACAAGATGTCGAGAAGCAAGTGATCAGAGCTTTTACCCCCTTTTACAGAGCCAGTGCCAACAAAAAAGTGATGTCCACCTTGTGAAAGTTATTTGCAGTTTCTCCAGTGTAAACAAACCCTCTCTCCACATGTAGCCCAGGTTCCATTTGATCAGCAAGAAAAAAACCCCCTGAAAAACAGAACATAACTGTTGAGCTGGTGGGTCTAATTTCCACTGTCATGTTGTGATCGTCATTAAGCCATCGCATCCCACTGCAGTTTAAAATCTCTCAGTGTGGAAAAGAAAGAAACGAGGAAAGAAACTAAGTGCCACGATTCAAACCCACCTGCTGGATAATGAGTACAAATGATCATGCTTCACGATTTTTCACGTTTTGTTACATGCAAATCCTAGACGACTTAAAGCACTGTTTATATAAAAAAAAAAACAACTTTATGTTCAGTGAAAGACAAGCAAAGAAATATGTCCACATTTGCATCCAACCCTTTTAAGGAGAACTGTTTCATCTTGGTCACATAAAACAAGCCACATCCCGGCCTCTTTCACATGAAGCCGGCCGCTCGGAGGCTCGTTTTCATAGATGTTTGCCAGCATCTCACAGTGTCATCCCTGTTCTTGTGAAGCTCCTTCCCCCTTGTTTTTTTTCCCCTGCAGGGATTTATAACAGACCCTCAGTGGAAGGCATCTTATTTTCGCGTGAACAAAGTAAAATGTGAAAAGCTAGTGCTAATCTGTCCGCTTATGTAGGTTCCAATTTGGCCTCTTTGCTGGGGAGCGCCCCGTCTCTCTCACGCCGATCTAAGTACTCTTGTACCATTTTAGCAGAGCAGTGACTCTGACACCTTCTCTTAAGAACAATTACTTCAGCAAGCCCACCTTGCTTTTGCAAACACTTAGCAAACACGTGGGTGCCGACAACAAACATTAAGATAAACTGATATTTTCCCCGCATGAAGAAGCCAAAATTGTCTCATTTTTTCATGGTGTAAATGCTGTGCCTGTAAAATGTGTTTACTGTCATTTGATGAAAGAGAGAAATAACAAACACATTCATACATGTTATGAACCAGTGCAAGAATCGAGCAAAAGTCTGAAAACTATTGAAAGAAAAGTCAGTAAAAGAAAAAAAAAAGAATAATATCCATGACTTCGAATATTTTGTCAGCTCTGTGAGTGTGCAAAAAGCAGCCAGAAGCTGTAGCTCTTGGAACAAAATGAGGCATTTAAGTGATCCGTGAGCGTAGGTGATGATTTGGGCATCAATCAGCGGATACCCGTCTACATTTTTTTGAATCCATCCCTTACCAGCACAACAACAACCACACAAGCTCTGCTCTTCTGTGTGGGACGGCATGTCTTCTTCTTCTTTTCCTTTTCCTCCACAGCCCTTTCCTTTTATATGAACGGAAACACGATATTCTGCAGCCCCAGCCAGAAAACCTGACACAGCTATAGCAGACCATACTGTATCTCCCGCTGCTGTAGAAGGACTACTCCAGCGGCAGAACACTGGCGAGCCTCACAGAAAGATGACTCATCAGCATTTGTTTTGATTTTAAACACCCACACCGGAGGACTTTCCTCTATGTATGTGCGCGTGTGAGCGCATGATGCATCTCCAAGGGTGTGTGCAGACGCAGTGGATGCGTTAAGCGTGGCGCGCTCCAATCTGGGCTTGTTTCTGAGTCCTCTTTCAGCCACACGGTATCGGCAGCTTGCTGATGCATACATTGACAGGAAAATGAATGAATAAGGCAGCTCACTTTTCCTGCAGTAATCCCTCTTACCTCTCCGCGTGCGCTAATGTATTGGAACGATCTCGATGTAAATGGTGGGGTGTCACATTTGATTCAGCGCGAGGTTGCTGTGGATGACTATAGACTGTAGTTTGTGTTCAGATGGAGGGAAGATTCCAGCTCACTAATGTGTAGTAGTGTGATCTTATTAAAGAGCTCCTCTCAATGTTATGTGGTAGATTAAGTCTCCTGGAGTGTTAAGGACCATGTTTAGCATCATTCCATACTGTGCCTTCTGATTGCGTCTCCCGCTGGTATGGTAAGGAAGTCTGTGTTGCAGAACACTTCCCCCCGGCTCTGACTGTGTGCTTGTCGTAGTTTCAGCTGCATTAAAGATTGAAGAGTGTGCGTTATTGTGGGGCGGGGGGGCACACACGCGGAAACTCCTCGTGTCCTCTATTATTCACAAAAGAAATGCTGAGGTGCAAGCGTCACGTATGGGCACCGATGCTGCGAAGCATAGGATAGGAATGCGCGCACGCTGACACGAGCATAGATACAAAAACTCTGGAGCAGCAGCTTTAAAGTGGGGCATCCGTAGTCATGGAAACAGATCTGATAATGTTGGGAGTCACGGCACATGTCATAAGATGGGAAAGCAGCAACACGCACACGCAGATGCCCAGCGCACATCCAGACTCGTTTAGACCCATGCCGCATATTCACACGTTTCCCCTCCGCCTGCTTCATTGCCTCGAGTTAGAGACAGATAGAGAGAAGAGACCGCGGGGACATGAATTCAGAGATCGGGAGGCGCAAAGCGAAATGAAAGAAAGGCTGAGGAGCCTAAGATGGGGGAGGAAATGAGGGTGCGTGAAAAGGGAATGCTGGGCATGGTGGCGAAAGGGAGAGGCGGTGGCAGAGCGGGGTGTAGAATAGGGGATGCAGTGGGCATCATATCAAAGCACCCGGTCTATCCGGCTGCTCGGACAGAGGGGCCTGTGTGTGTGTGTGTGTGTGTGTGTGTGTGTGTGTGTGTGTGTGTGTGTTCACATGTCCGTTACTGGATTGTTTTTGCACCTGTTGTTCCGGGGCTGCCGTTTTACGGCCAAACATGTTAGGATCAAATGAAGTTTTTCAACCCAAGACTTCAGATGAGGTCTTATAATATAGAAACGGGATCATTTGGATCACTTGAAATATCTAATTAAGCCAGCAAATGTGCACTATAAAATCCTCTTATGGGGTACACTAACAGCTTGCTGTGAAACTACATTCAGTTTTGTTCGTTCTTTGTGCAAAAACCATTTGACTGCTGTTAATGCCTGTGAGGTAAAAAATGTTAACCGCAGTTACAGTTTTTACAGTATAAAGTTGTAGGTTTCTTTGGCAATCACAGACTCATTGGAATATAAATGCTTGAATTCAATAATTTAGAAAGCCAGCCAGGATGCTGTTGTAATGTAACTGGCTAGACCAGAGATGTCAAACTCATTTCACATCATGTGCCATATGCAGCCCACTTTGATGTGAACTTGGCTACACCAATGAAAGTACATAAACTTTTACAGTTACAGAAAATGCTCTGGTAGTTTATTGTCCCGTAATGGTAAATTTTGAATATAAAGTTTTCATTAACTGAGAGAAAATATCCTTATACTTATACTCTGTAGGAAAAGCTGTAAAACCTGTTAAAATACAGTTAAAAGTTTGATCTCTAATTCACATCTTCTAAAGCTGTGTGGTGGATTGGATTGGAGTCTATGATCATAAAGTTAGAAAGTGTCCGGGCACTAAAATAAATGTCAAACAGC